CACTGAGCTAAAAATGCCTCAATTATTGAATTGTATGCTGTAAAGTTAGCTTTTTGGGTCATGCTAAGTGACAAACCTGGAGAATTTTATTTCTAAACATAGTGGTTAGCTGGTTCCTATGATGGTGTTCTTTATAACTAAAACATACCCTTCCAGAACTTTGTTATTTAGGAGACTGACTGAAAGTGTTTAAATGAAGTATGGTGTGTTATGTCTCTTCTCTGATCCTGTGTTGGAGAATTTAATGGAAATTCTGCTAAAAGAGCAGGTGGAACTCTCCTGCCCACTTTTTTATTACTGTGGTCAAATCAAATGGTTTTTAATTGTTCTTTCAGTATAGCTAGTCTGTCAAACTCTAAATAATTTTTTTGTTTGGTAAGATAAAGTTTAACATCCCTCTCCTGTAATTACATTCTTATATTTGGTTTCATTTTCACAGGATATTTTTGTGAGCCTCTCACAGGTCGATGGGATGTACTTTGTCTGCAATATTGATGACTTTAAATTTCTAGCAGATATGATTCAGCACATTCCACTAAATCTGCGATCACGATACGTCTTCTGCACTGCACCCTTGAACAGAAAAGAGCCTTTTGTGTGTACCACTTTGTTGAAGGTTAGTTATTCCCTCAAAAAATGTGGTGTTTATAATAGACCAAGTAGGTCTTGGTGCACTGAGACTGGATTTAGGTGATGTGTTTGTGTGGGTTTTGCCATCAAATAATTTGAGAGCATTCTTAAAGTGCTCACAGGTAGTATAAGATACATAAAATAGCTGGACATATATTTTTTCCTAATTGAATTCTTCACCATTTTTATAGACCAAAGCTTTTAACTTCTGAGAACTTGTTCGCATGATGTAAATTAAAGTTTGGATAGCTTCTCTGCTGTTTGCCTCGGAAAATCCTGCTGCTTCTCCTTGTATGTCAGCTCTGAACTGGGGGAGATGAGAGTTGTGTTCCCCGGTCTCTTGTGCACTGTTAAGCTTTGCACTGCAGTGTTCCTAAAAGCAGTCATTAAAAACCAAGTTCCTTTGAGCTGATAGCTTGTCAACAGAAGAAGAGAATGTGGGATTAAGGGTGATTGCTGATGCTATAATACAGTTGCATAGATTTTAAACCTCAGAAAACACAGAGCTGTAAGTTGCTCTCAGAATTACGTCACTTTACGTTTCAGGCCTGGATGAATTGTTTTTTTGCTGGGCCCCCAGAGTGATTATTTTGAGGAATTTGTAGTCAGCTGATTTTTCAGGTTTAATAATAATGTCACTTGAGACTGTTACTTTGTTAGACAGTATTGCCCTTGTTCCCTTTTTAAAGACTACATTCAACTTTTACAATGAAATACTATAAAAATGAAACTGATGTGGTGCCCTCAGGTCACAAATGTTGGAACCTGCTTTTCACAAATCCCTAATAATCTTCAAAAAATGTGTGACTGATTTAAAGAGTTGAAAAAAGTGCCTCATTAGGAAAATGCTGAGCTTTTGGATTCCAAGTAGTGAGGGTGCAGGGGGACACAATGTGGTGTTAGAAGGAGGTAAGCTGTTGTGAATACTTGTGTGAATTTAAGCCCCATTCCTTGGCCAAGAAAACCCACTGTAGTATCAGCTAAATAGGAAACAGTTATTCTAAGTCATCAGTACTCTTGAAAATTTTAGATTTAAATCTTACTTGTCTTGTTTTTCTGTTAGTTGAGGAGCTGAAGTGTCTGGGTTTCAGAAGAGGGGATTTCTAGTGCAGATTAATCTGTTTGGTTTGTGGGTAATGTGTTTCCTAAACCAGGGAATGCATGTAATATTCTAAATGCTGGCAACCCTGAAACAAGATAATTAACCAAAGAGGAGGAGGATTTAAAAAAATACAAAGTCCATCTGCTTTGCTAGATGAAACCAAATGCCTGCAGTGTTATGCTTTTCTGGATAGCTCTGTGCTTTTGTTGCTTAACTCTGTGCATGGCCCATGGACAAATTGTGTTAATGAGGCCCTGGAAAGGAGAGGTGACTCCTGTGTTGAGTAATTAAGTAAAAGAATGTGTGGCATTTGGGTTGTGTAAAACAAAGCAGGTATTTTATGGAGTATTCTATGTATGCAGACTCTGGGGAATTTAACGCTTTGGGGATTTCTTCTCTCCTAACTGAGGACCTGGCTGAATCTGTTTGTTTTTCAGTTTGCACGACAGTTCAGTAGAAACGAGCCTCTGACGTTCGACTGGCTCTGCCGGCACACCAAGTGGCCCTTGGCTGCTCCAAAAAACATCAAGGAACTTGTACACCTTGAAGCTGTGCATGATGTTTTTGACCTCTATCTGTGGTTAAGGTATTGTCTTTGTGCTTGAGAATTGGTTGGGTTTTTTTCCCCCTATTATGTATGACTTACAGTCCTAGAAGTGCAGTGTCTTCAAGCCCATATGTATGTGGTGCAGGATGGGCTCCTTTGGCCTTTTAGAGGATCTTGACAAATGCAATGTTGAGGGAGTGAGTTTTGCAGACAGCAGTTTGTGACTGACAGAAAGAGAAAGGTAGAAAAGAGGTGATCCTAGACTGGTGCAGCTGAAAAGCAAATTAAAATATGGTCACCTTCCCATGCAACATGTAATAAACACTCTTTTTATTTACTATATATCCTGTTTTTGTCCCAGTGAGAAGGTTTGATTGTGTGTTCTTTTGCCTCTCTCCAGTTACCGCTTCATGGATATGTTCCCTGACGCTGTCCTTGTCAGGGATATTCAGAAAAAACTGGATGACATTATACAAATTGGTGTCTGCAACATCACAAAGCTGATCCGAGCGTCCCAGTCTGCTCCTGGCACAACTGAAGTAGTGTCAGAAGACTTTCCTCTGTCAAGGACTCAGAAGGATGCCAGGGTGGTTTCAGACCATCACGGTGCAGCCTCCACAGAGGCACTGTCCATTGCAGTGGAAGCTGCAGGACTGAAAAGAGTGAAGAATTTGAGATCCTCTCGGCTTGGTAGCAGGCAGGAGGATCTGAAAAGCTATGGACGTGGATCTCTTGCCAACAGATTGCTGCGGGAGGGACTTCTGACACAGGAAATGCTGAGACAGCTGGAGAGTGAGTGGCAGGATCAGCACAGGAATGGTAGATATGGCTTTGGTTCAAAAAGAGATGATCAGCATAGTTCAAAGGAAACGAGGAAAAAGAGAAAATAGAACTATGTCCTAATTCTGTTTAGTTTTTATTCATAAAATAAAATATTATTTTAATAACTTCTTTGGCATTTCATGTTTACACTGCTGCAGCTCCTTGTTGTTTTCCCTTGTCCTGTGACCAGTAATATGAAGCACTCAGAGAAATGAACTCTTAAAAGCTCAGAGGCCAATAAGTTTGTTTTTACCACTCAGCTGTACACTCTTTCAATCATGGTGTTCAGCATAAGTGTATGATTTACTGCTGTGTGAAAATTTGAACTTGGTGTCTTCTTGCAAGATATCCTCTCATCAATAAATGTCAGATATTCCACTAGTAATGAATTAGCTACTCATTCCACCCCTTCTCAAAGGGCAGAGTTTAAGAGACCACAAACAGGTAATGAACAGCCTGGAACAAAATTGGCTCAGAATGGTGATAGAAGTCATGTGTCTGTAACCATTGTGTCCTGTGAAAATGTGGAAGGAGGTGAAATGTGGTAATATTTGTGGTAATATATCAGGAGCAGTGGAATTCTGGCTGCAACAATTTTGGAGTGAATTTCAGTTCTGGAATCTGAGGGGTAATTATGATGCTGTGTGATTTGGTTTTCATGTGAGCAGCTTTAAGGTGTGCTTTTGAGCTCCCAGTATGGATACTGGAGAGAGGAAAGAATCAGGTGCTGAAACTGCTGTATATTTACAGAAATGGGTTTCAGCACTTGTACATGTTGCTGGGCTGCCCTTGCCATGTATCTGGGATTGGCTGTGTACAAATGCACAGGTCCTCCTTGTGTTAATGTTGGGAAACCTTTAAAATCCAGCTGGAGTTTGACTATCAAATGCCTGACTTCCTGAAGTGATCAGCTGTGTTTCTCTGCAGGCTGAAAGTTTGCTCTGAATCCCCTTTCCCTTCTCCTGGTGTCATTCCTTTATGCTGCTGTTCAGAAAGAAATCTGCAGCAGTTTGAATAATGTTTTTACAGCTGTTTTCAGTGTAGTTCATGTATTCTTTCCTCATTGTTTACTGAAAAGCAAGCAGTGCGTGTGTTTCTAGTCCGCATGATCTCCTGCTGGTTTCAGTACAATACTGGTGGGAAGAGAAAGTTTTAGGTCCTTCCCCTGCAAAGCCACATCTTTTTTTTCTGCTCCAAGAAAAACCAAGCAGCCCTATGTGTGTGGCAGTGGCCATGTGAGTGTTGTGGATTTTCTGCTTTGCAGATGAGTAGTTCAGCTTTGCTTTCCTGGAGTCCTGCTGTTGAACAGCAGCACCACTTGCATGGTGCAAGCTTCCATTAACCCTTACAAAATGTGTTGCATTGGCTACTATCGCACAGCTTGTGTGAGGTGGGCTGTGTGATGGAGTGGTATCAGTTGCCTCCTTGGCACTCACTGGAAGGGAAGCAGGAGTTGCTCAAGCCTGCAGGCACATTTTGACCACATGCATTGTCCCTCTTACCCCTGGGAATGCACTTGCCCCAGATCCAGGGTGGATCCACAAACCACTGTTTGAAACCAACCCTGGCTGTCCACCATGGACAACTCTGGTTTTCCCTGCCCAGTCTGTGTGAGGCCCACACTGCACTGAGTGATACTGCACTTTGCTTCTGTTAGGTTGAATTTATCCTTTAATCATACAGTAAGCTGAGTACTAGCATATATATTTGAGCAAGGAAAGAGTGTCTGGGACTTCAGGGTATAAGCCAGCCTTGTGTTTCAGCACCAAGCCTTGCAATAAAGAAGCTAAATGACTATAAGCATTCTTTTTTGTATTTTGCTGAGATTAGCACTTTGCTTAACTCACTGCTTGTTTCCATAGTGACTCCATAGTAACTGTTTTAGAAGCTCTGAAGTTTATTCAGGCGTTTCCAGGCTGACTTTATGAAAGTTTTCTTTTCTTCTGAGCTAATGGTGTGGCTGTCATTGACTCCCATTAGAATGGCTGCCAAATTGGTCCCATGTGGTACAATCTGGGCTGGTGTGGTGCAGAGTTACCCCAACTACCCATTTTTAACCTGCCTTGTGGGGCTGTGCTGAAGCTTTATTTTTAAGCAACAACAATGCTGTACTCTTGATCTGGGAGCCATGTTTGCAAAACTGTGTCAGGTGTTCAGATTTCCATATTAATTTCAGGCATTGAAATTAGAGATGTTTGGAAGTTTATTCATTAATTGTTTATTTGCTGTCCTTCAGATGCAAAATGCTGATTGTAACAGCGCTGCTTGGTAAAGTCCTCCTTTCTTTTAAGCCCAGCATGCTCTGTTCTGTCTGTGTTATTTCCATCTCTTCTGATTTTTCCCATCAGTCCTCTCAGGTGTTCTGCCTTACTTTATATGCTGATGTTGCACTAAGAGTGGCATATGCAGGAAGAATGAATATGGGGACCCCTTTCTCTCCTGAGCTTTGATGAACTTACGGGAGTATAATGGGGAATGAACCCGCTGCTACTGCAGGGAAGGGGAAATGTGTTCTAGGGGTTGGTCTTGGAATCATAAGCTATAAAAAAGAAGGATTTCCCCTGATGAATTGCTAGTAGCTTTGTCCACTGTCTCCTTGTTAACCTGGGTACCAAATGTAGCAGCCAGCATTACTACTGCCTGTTAGACCTCACCAAAAATAGATGAGTTTCTCACAATAAAATGCTTATTGCTAAGGGGTATCTCTTTCTGGAGGTAACAAGGGCACGTTTAGCTGATGTACTTGACTTTTTTGTGAGTTTCCCCACTGTAGCTGAGCTCCTTTTCTCAGCAGGCCTTTGACTGCAAGGCTGTGGAAGGCAGATGAGGACCAGACTCTTCAGGATTCTCCATTGTGAGATGGTGTTTGGAGGCAGAGCTGCAGGAGAAGAAAGTAGAGAGGGGGGCATTACAATTTTAAAGTCTTGTTGGCCTTTGCAAAGCGGGGAGGAAAGGTTTGTGAATAACTTTTATTGACTGCAACTCTAAAAAAAGGGAAAAACATCTCCTCAAGCTTCCAAGCTTCATGCTGTTGGAGCTGATTTGTTCACTTGAGCTTGGGCTGGTTCTCCTGTCCTGGCCAGGATATGTACAGAATAGCTGTCACACTTTTGGGTGTTGGGCACTTGGTACAGTGAGCTGCTGTCTGTGTGGAAATGAGATAATGTCTTGTCTTTTCTTGCACAACAGCCTGCCGGAAGCTGGGATGCACCCAGGGTGAGAGAACAAGTTACGCAGTGATTCTGACACGTCAGGTATTTCACAGAGCCTGCTGCCAGCTTAGGAACATTCAGATCTTTGAGACCCTTTTCCAGTGGTGTCCGTCAGAGAAAGAAAGAAAAGAGAGAATGAAAAATAAATCTACTGTATTACAGACACAATGAGCTCTGGATCAAAGTGGGATGGAGCTTGAAAGGTGATGTTTTCAATTTTGCTGGCCAGAGGGGTTGTGACTCGGATGGCATGGGTAAACAATGAGGAGAGAGACAGTCCCTTTGGGAGTCAGTGTCTGACTTAACGAGCCAGCAGTTATTAAAAGATGAATAGAGGAGAAGTGAACCGTGCTTTCTGGCTGGTAGTGTGGCTTATTTTCTTCGTTCTTTTCTCTTTTTCTCTCGAAGATCAAAGGCCTAATTTTAGAACAAGCCCTATTTATGGACTGCTCAGCCACTGTCTGCTTTACTCTTGTTCTAGAATAATGGAAAATAAATAGAGCTGGCAGGATCTCCCAGTGTCCAGAGCTCATCCCTGATGCAAGGCAGGAGGAGAAAAAAAGAAAAAGACCGTTCCTAGCAGAGGTTCTGTGTGATTTGTCTCTGCAGAGGGAGTTCCCCTCCCTCAGCTCTTTCAGTCTTTCTGCATGATCAGAAGCTGAAAATATGTGACCTGTGGCTGCTCCTGATGTTCAGCAGAGCTAACTCCTTCTGATCCCTGCCTTCTTGATGTGCCTTGGAAAAGAGTCCTCTTTCCAGGACTGGTGCTGAGTATGGAGTTGAGCCTTGGTTTGTGTGCCTGTGGACTATATTGTATATACTGTATATACAGCCCACCATGATCAGTTGTACTTTTTCCTTTTTATAACAGCATGAGATTGTTGGGTCCAGTCTAGGCTACAAACTGATGTAGCCAGGCATCCTTTCTACTGGCTAGCTGCCTCTGGATCCCTCTGTATCTCTAGACAATTTTCTACCACTCAGCAGTTCTTTGTGTTTCCTCACATTACTTGCCACTCCCCTCCCCCTTTCCTCTTCTCCCCCTGCTGTTTTGCTCATCTGTCAAAATAATTTTTAATTGTTACCTTGTTCTGCAGAATTCAGGATGACAATTGTCTGCAGTACCTGTAGTCAGTTCAGCTGAACAGGGTGTAAACACACTGTATGCAGGTATAGTTTGAGAGTGAACCTCTAATTACCCCATGGGAATGCCTTCTTGGGTTTTCTTCCCCCTCTCCTTTGTGTCAGCATTTCACCCAGCTTTCTTTGGATGATGTTTCCATAGTCCATATCATTTGATACAGTGACAAAATCCTGGAAACACTTGTGTGTTCAGAATGAGTTTGAGAGTGATGGTTCAAGGCTGTGTGGAAATCTGATGGTGTAAGGAAGCTGCTCTTGCTGTGGGTGCTCTGTGCTGCCAATTAAAGGCATTCTTCCAGTGGGGCAGTCTGATACCCACAGTGCTGCCTGCCAGGTAAATCTGTCCTCTCCCCAGGTTTTGCAGTACTGAGGATCTTCACTGGCCCGAAGCTTTGGGTGAAGGGAGAAGAATCAGTTCAAAACCTTTCTGCTGGGAATTGCGCAAGAGGCATTCCAGCTGGGGGCAGGGGTCTGTGTGTCTCTGCTCTTTTACACAGCTGAAGCTTAATTGGTACAAAGCTGCAGATAAGGGTGCATGTGCAGAACTAGAGTGAAGTTAATTCATGCAGAAGAGCTTGTCTCACAAGTGGGAGCGCTGAGCAGAGGGAAGAAGTCTCCTAAAACCATTTAACTTTGCAGATTCCCTGCAGCACTTGGCTGCACGCAGCAGCGGTGGGAGCCTGTCAGCCCCTGGAATGAAGCGGGGCAGGCTGCGTAGCAACTGCATTGAGAAGTGGTAACAATTCCCAAGTGGGGCAGTAACAAAATCGATTTTTCTCCCCTTCAGCTTGGCAGCTCTCCAGGTGCCTGCTCTGGCACAATGAAGTGTGTAGCTGGGGAGGGAGGGACTTTGGGTTGATGTTGGTGGGGGGGTGTGATACAAAGAGGCAGAAGTTTAATCACTGACCCGATCACACTCGATGGATTTATTTCTGGACTCAATTTCCCAGGAACTCCACTATTCTACACTGGGGAAAATGCCTCTGCTGAAGTTTCTCTAGCTCCAGCTTCGTGAATAAAGATCTGTCGCTTTGGAGTTATTCACAGCAGCTCTGTCACTACTGACTCATCCATCTGCTTCAAGAAAATGTTTGCTGTCCACTTGCTAGCTTTCCATTTCACAAAGCTAAAAGAGGATCAAATAAAAAAGGTAAGATGCAGCGTCAGCTGATTGCTATTTTAAGTGCTGTGTTACCCAGATACGGAGGGGTCTGCGGTACCTAACACAGACCACGTAATGGCATTAGCCACTAAAACCATTCAGCCAAATGGGGTAGGAGGTATTTAGACCTTAAACCACCTGACGAGTGTGAAAATAGGTCTGGTTAGTGGTTTTCCCTGCACAGTTATAAGTGTTCTCCCAGTAATGGAGCAAATTCTCTTCAGTAAGGGAAAGCGCTTAAGCTTTATCTGGCATGGTGTGGTAGAGCCCAGAGGACAGAAAGGATGACTCTTGCTGAGTTGCTTTGCAAGTGTAGCATGAATTATGGGATTTCTCAATCTGAGTAGGAATCAGGAGTCAGTCATGTAGCAGGGACAGGGAAGACACCTGTGGTCTTTGGTCTGGGTCTGCTGAGATTTGTGAGAGATTTCCAGCTGGTGTTGGGGTTCCTGAGCCTCCTCTCTGGTTATCCAAAACTGGCTAATCACTCTGATATTTATAGGTGTGTTTAATTACAGTTGGAAAAGCTTGAGATGGCTCAGATCTGAAGCTATCAATACTGGGAATGAGCTGCCTAATCTACTTCCATGGCTATGCTGAAATGGGTTTTTGGACTTATGTCCATCATAAGACCATGTGAGATCTGTAAGCTTCATTGATCAGAGGTCCTCTGGTTTGTGGACATGTCCCCTGTGGGCCCCTCTGTATTCCTGATGTCTTCACTGAGTGCTGCCAGGCTCTGTCCTCTGCTTTTCCAGCCAGCAGGAGGTGGGGCTGTCTGTGGATGCATGGTGGGAGATCCAAGGTCCTAGTGCATAGATCTGCTTACATCACTGAGCTCATCAGCAAAGTGAGCCACTCTGGGTTCTCCTCTCTCTGCCCAAAACAGAGTGGAGTGGCTTGTTCCAAGGAAGACTTCTTCCCTTAATTCCGTTGTGGAGAGAGGCATTCCAAGAGAGGTACTGGTATCTCATCAATCAGGTGTCTCTGACTCAGTCATTCCCTTTTATCCCTAGGATTTAATGTGATCAGAAAAAGGCCTCACTGTGCTTTCCCTCTGTGAGGAGCTCATCTCTTACTGGACAGTACTATTTCTTCTTTCTTTTTACTAAGAAAAAGACCTTGTGGAGCAGTACTTTGATGTAGTGGGCTTTGCAGAAGAACATCCAGCTTGCAGCTGGATGAGGACAGTGGAGATGAGGGAACAGAGGAATTCTGGCAAACTCATCAAAAAAATCAAAGTCTTTCTGCAAGGTACAAACTAGCCCTTCCTGAAGGCAAGAAACCACATGCTACTCAGACTTCTCTTTTAAGTAGCCTAGGGCAGACTGTACAGAACAGAACTGATTTCTCCCTTATTGGAAAGAAGGAATATCTTCCCACCTCTCCCTCCCCAGGCTTATTTACTCTGTGGTGGCAAAACCAAGAGCCTGCCTGCTGTGAAAACACTGCAATTTCCATAAATGAGGCAAGGCACTGGTGTAGCACAGCCTGGCCATTCCTGTGCTGTAAATGGTTATGAGAGCAGGGCCTTGCTCTGGTTGTAAATCAGGCTGAAGAACCAGCAGGCTTTCCTGGGCTCTGCCTTATCTAGCTCCTTGGAGAGAGACTGTCTACTCCTGTAGTGGGTAAACAGGGTGGGGAATGCAATGTCTGTGGGCAGCAGGGGGCTAGTGCATGTTCTCTGCAAGCAGACACAGTAATTTTTATTACTCTTGTGGGTTTTTTTCCTCCCCAGGAATTTCTTTCACAAGGCTGTCTGGGTCTGTGTCAGAGTGCATGAGTGCTGTATGTCTCCAGTCACTGTATTTTCTTCAAAAAATCAGTACAGGTGCACAGGCTAAGATGATGGATCCTACACAGTGGTGAGGCCTCAAAAAATCCTTGGAGGAAATCAAATGCTTGCGCAAACAAGGGCTACAAATACAAATCTGAATAATGGCCTTTTCAAGGCACAGCTGTATCCAAAGGCAGCTGCTGCTCTAGGACAGTTGTAGTTTAACACTTTCTCCTCTGTGTGTGTTCAGTGAGTGACTTTAAGGATCCTGGCTCTTTCAGGTGGGTCACTGCTGACCATCAGTTTAAAATGGGACTGTGAATAGGTAATTAGTTTGTGCCTCATTAAAACAGGTGGCAAATCCCAATTGCAGCAAAGACCAATTTATCTACAACCTGCATTGCTCTCTGTTTAAACAATGCAACCTTTTAAATCCTGCCATATTGCTGATGAGACTTGGTCTGTGTCCTTCCAACCCTCCTGACCTCCCTGTGTAAATGGGAGTGATGAAATGCCCTGGACTGATAAATCACCATAACAACGTAGCCCATGGTGCAAGAGCTGAGTGTCTGCAGCAGCAAAGCCCTGGCAGCTGTCCCACCTCTCTCCCCTGCCCACCTCCTCTGGTCTCATGTACTGGAGAGTGGGATGTGAAAACAAATTACCCTTCAGGGGACATCCAGCTATTTGGAGCACACAATTATTATGCCTGGATCATGTTAAGTCTGCCCAGTGGAAAAGCTTCTGGATGTTGACAGATGCCTTTTTTTTCCTGTGTTAATCTTTTGTTGTATCCAGCTATGTAGTTTCTAGGCCATACTACTTATAACCCTGCACAGATAAGTGTCAGTCCCATGGTCCTTAAGGGAAAAAACCTTTCACTTTGCCATGATGAAGCTGTTCATAACCACTGATTAGCTTCTCTGCCAGTTTATCTGAATGAGCTGCTTCATAGCTACTTTTGAATTCTTTTATATTCAACTGGCTTCTATTTTGATGTATTCTGTGAGTTGCAGACCTTTAACAAAGGGTACTGATTGCACCCAAAAATGTGTTTTAGATGTAATCCTAGAATCACAAGAGAATGGAGAGCAGAGCTGGAGTGAGAAAAAAGGCTTTGAGTTCCAGCCTGGCATGCCAACAAAGTTAATTGTCTGTGGAGTGAAGCAGTAGCTGAATAGATGTTTTTGGGTTGTGGCTGACACGCTTGGGTACTGATGGCATTTTCTGGACCTGCCTCAGAGAGGTCAAATTCTCACCAGATTGAGATACTTTGCAGTTCTAGTTCATTATACCTCTACCAGGAGAGTATGGTGTGAAAACAACTTGTCAGGGCCTCAAGCAAATCTCATGAGCTTCCATAGCATAGCATTGTCAAGTTACTGAGCCATCAGAAAAGATGGCAAACTTTTGGGCAGCAATTCACCAAGGCTGTGTTAAACATTTTCAAAACAGAGTTTTTTTTTAGAAGAGTGACTGTCCTGATGATGACCTGGAACTTGCTGGCACTGCCAGCCACAAGATCTTGGGTGCTGAGGTCGGAAATGAAACGATGAATGCAGAGCACCAAGGAGCCTGCATGCCTTTGAGTAACACCTTCCACCTTTGCAGGTTGACAGGTATCTGTACCACCTGCGCCTCTCTGACGATGTCTTGCTGGATGTGATGGCTCGATTCCAGGCTGAGATGGTGAAGGGCCTGGGCAGGGACACAAACCCCACAGCCACCGTGAAAATGCTGCCGTCGTTCGTGCGCTCGCTGCCCGATGGCTCAGGTGAGTCCCCCTGCTCCAGCACAGCACTGCTGCTTCAGCAACATGAGCTGCTGCCAGGACTCTGGGATAGCCCAGCAGAGACACAGGGCAGCCAGTGGCTCTGGGTTACTGCCTGTCTCATTGAGAAGGCACAAGTGTGTGTATTGAGCCTGGGGGAATGCTGGCAGAGTGGGTTTTTTTCCCTTGCACCTGGTGGATTTTGACCTAGTGCTGCTTGTTTGAGGAAAGGACTTGGTGCTCAGGAACAGCTTCTTCCCATCTGAGTGCAGGCCCTGCTGTAGGAGCTGTGGCTGGACATGGCAAGGGCAGCCTCTACAGCTCAGAGCCTGCAGTGCAGTGTGCTGTGGCTGTGGGAAGTGTGGCCTGGCCGCCTTGGAGCTACAGGGAGGGCAGGATGCTGCAGTGAAACCCCTCAAATTGACAGCAACACAGAATGCTCAGAGCTGCGATCGCCAAACTCTGCACTGCTTTTACAAATTCCCCAAAAAGTGATCCCTTCTGCCCTTTCTTGCCTTTCTCATTGGGAAAATCTGCTTCTGGATGGGATCTACCAGGAAACTGCTCTGCTTCTTCAGCTGAGACTTGAACAGAGAGGGAGAAATTGCAGTAGTGTCCTCTGGGAGGATATGATATGAGATAGGAACTAAAAGCCCATCTTGTTTGGGGAGGTATGCACATACAAAATCAGTCCTCAGCTGGCTCCTGGTAATGCAGTCTGACAGAAAATTACTTTTTTTCCCAGGTTTAACCAAGTTAATTTGTGTAGGATTTTATGTCTGGTTTAGGTCAGACACAGTGGTGTAAACAAGCTGTGCAGAAGACCAAAATGTTAGCCTTTTACCTTATTTCCACGTGACTTCATTCCTTCTGAAAGTATTTTTCCTGCAATTAAATGAGGAATAACAGTTTCAATAGCATAAAGAAGACATTTGAAGGCAAGTCCCTTGAAATGAGGCATGTCTGAGAGAAATTATACACAAGCTGACTGGATGGAAGGGGGCACTCTTCCATTGCTGCTAACTTTGTCAAAGAGAAAGAAGTACTTTCTTAACCCTTGCAATGTCAGTGACAGTCACTGGTCCTGAGGGTGCTCCTGTCCTGGAACAGCAGCAGAGCCCCTGAGGCCAGGAGACTCGGAAGATTGCAGGAAGATTGTCATCAGTTGGTATTCCTCAAGGCCAAGGTTGGACAGTGCTCTCCTGACCTTTGTGTGTGGCCCTTCCAATGTGTCAAGGATATGCTGCAGCATCAAGCTGGGCTATATCTTATTGTCACATTGCCTACTCTAAGTATCACATAGATTTTTCTATATTTGCTCTCTTGAAAAATTCCTGTTGGTTTTTTTGCTTCCAGACAGGTTAAAACTTCCAGGATGTTTAAACAGCTCAAACTTGGATGGTTATTCCCCATTTGCAATTGCAATTAACTTTGAGATTATTTTAGTGCCCTCAGTGTTGCTGCCTGAAATGACTCATATAGACCATCTTCAGTTTTTCATTGTTTAGGTTAATTAATAGTCTGACTAATGTCACAGTTTACTGAGTAACCCAGTCTGCCTCCTCACCTTTGATAGCTGACCATGGTATTACAGGTAGAATTTCCTGCTTCCTTACCTTTCAGGACCAGATTTAATAAAATTTAGTCACATGTTTGGACTGTGGAACAAAGATCATGCCAAGGCTAGGTACATACCTCTGTGATTTCCTTTTGGGAAGGGCATTTTCCTGTGTATGGGATAAACAATTGCTTTATTGTACCTGTGAGGCCAAGCTGTTCTTCCATCTGAGCTTTGCTGCTGGAGATGTGTGTCTGAGCAAGCCTGTGAAACAAAATGGTACTTTCACAGAAACACCAAAAAACATTTGAAAAGGATTGTGCTGGTTGATTTTGGGTAGAAAATTAGCTTTGCCCCATTTGGAATTCGACTTTCGCACTAGAGCTGAGTTAACATATGCCTGCAAATCCTGCGTCCTCTACTGGATACAGGTAATGGTCTCACATTCTGATTGTTCCACATTTCAGGTGACAGTTTTGCGGCCTCTGTGTGCTCTGGTTGGTTTTGCAGTTGCTTTGGGCCTTTCTTGCTGAAAAGCTCCTCCTTCTGCAGTGTGGAAGGAGCAGGGTAGGCAAACCCAAACAGCCAAATAAAAATTAAATTAGCTATTACCTAGCAAGCAGAAAGGAGAGACCTGATAGCCTTGCTTCAAATTTCCAACTCAGTCTTGCTGATGCTCCCAGGCCCTTGGGATAAGGATCTGCCATGATGGGGCAGGAGGGGCTGTGGTGAGGGAGGGCCCTGGGCTGTGGCCATCAGCCTGGCAGCTGAGCCACTCTTTGTGGCCATCCCCAGTGATGGTTGCCCGCTTGTGTTGCAGAGAAGGGTGATTTCCTCGCTGTCGACTTGGGTGGCTCCCAGTTTCGTGCCCACCAGGTGAAGGTGTTCGATGATGGGAAGCAGAGCAGCCAGCTGGAGAGCAAGTTTTACCCCACACCCAAGGAGGTGACACAAGGCAACGGAGCCGAGGTAGGGCACTGCTGTGCTGCTGCTGTGCTGGCACACCTGCCTGCAGGACACAGCCCAAATGTGCTCTCTTTTTGTGCAGCTCTTTGAGTACGTTGCTGACTGTCTGTCAGATTTCATGGAGACCAAAAACCTGAAGCATAAGAAGTTACCTCTTGGCTTTACATTTTCTTTTCCATGCAAACAGACCAAGTTGGAAGAGGTAAGATGCATAAAGAAATGCTCTTGTCAAGCTGAGCTCCTCGCAGATTCTGGACAAGCTGTTGAATGCGGGTGTTACCCTGTGGCTTTTATGTGGGGTCATGTTTACATAGCTCTCTAAAGAAGGCATGGGTGACTTTTGGCATTTAACTAGACATTCATTTCTCATCTCAAGGCAGCATGATCTTTAAGCTAAAGCTATTCTATTGCTTTATCAGTACCCAGTTCCACAGGAACCATGTGCTCCTGTATTAACACTGTTAGAAACAGACATGTCCTTTTGTGTCTTGAAGTATCTTTACTTTTTTAATCACTCTCAGGTTTTATTATTTACAGTTAATTCTGAATAGGAAATACCTGTGGTTGAGCTGCTTGAGACATCCCTTGGGGAAACAAAGGGCTGGTTGCAATTATTTTGTGTTCTCTCATCTTCGCTTCTCTTATTTCTGTGTTTGGGTTCCAGTCCTGCAAGTGCTTTTTGCTTTATGCTATTAGATTGTGATCAGCATAGGAAAAGCCCCATGTGCTTTAAATGAAACACAGGGAGAAACATTTACAGAACTGGGACTTTATGACTGTACCCTTTTGGTTGTGTTGGTACTGACAGGCACCCCAAGGTAAGATGTTCTGTTCTGTTTTGGCTCAGTTTTGTGGTGTGGAGAGACATAGTGAACTTCTCCACACACTTTAGTCTTGACTGGCTTTGTAGGTTGTGTGCTAAGCTTTGTGTGCTTTTGGGTCACTGCCCTGTTACTTTTCAGGGGGTTCTTCTTGCATGGACAAAGCACTTCAGGGTCCGAGGAGTTCAGGACACAGATGTGGTCAGCTCTCTGCGCAAGGCCCTCCAGAAGCACAAGGCAAGTTTTGTACCTGCAGGAGCTGAGCCTGAGTGGCCTCAGAACATCCTCCTGGGAAATCAGCTCTTGGTGTGGGGGTTCTTTTGAGAGTTGTCAGACATCCTCCAGGGATGGTCAGTAGCAAGTGCCCAGCATGCCTGTACACGTGGTAGATCTGAATCTCTCTTGCAGCTCTAACTCAGACTGCCCGGTATCAGCAAGGGCAGCTGCCAGCTGTTAACCCAGGCTGGCTGTGACAGCTCACCCACCCCACTGTCTCAGCCCAAGGGAATCTCTTGTGAAACTACTGGGTGAGATATAAAACACTCAGTAATTTCACACACCGTGTTTCACAGCCTGGCTTGTGGGATGGAGGTTGGTAGGGGGAAACTGTCATCTCAAATTGGCACACTTACCTCTACCAGGGCTAGCCTGTCCAGTCTGTAGGATGGAGCCATTGATTACAATTTTTAAGGTCAGCAGTAAGACATGATTAAATCTGGCCTTGAACTAGCATCTAACCTTTGAATAACACTGTGTCTTATTATTTTGGAAAGCCTGGCTTTTCATGTTTGACGCTGTTGCTAACACCAGCTAAGAAATACAAGGCATCTTTCTGTATCTTTATGACTTTGTAGGAAAGAGGAAATTCTGTTTTCTCTCGTGGTAAAAATCCAGCCTTGATTTTGGTTCACTTCTTTTCCTGCATCAGTCTTGTAGTTATTAGTAACAAAGGATCTGAGGCTTCCTGGGTGAAGTGTGGCCTCCTCCTGGTGTTGGCATCTGAGTTGCAACAATCCTTTGATAAATGTGAAAGGAAAACCGCACAGCCTTGATGGAAGGGCTTTTTACTTGAGTGTGGTATTGCTGCACAGCTGTAGCTGCATTTTGTGTGTTTCCTGTCCCATTTGGTGGGATCTGCTCAGGTGATGGGATGTTATCCTTTCACACAGCCTGTAATCACAGTATCACAACATTCACGCCAGTAACATGCCACTTTTCTGGCAAATGAGGTGGGATTGGGGAAAAACAAATCCTTCAAGCAAAGAGGCTGGTGAAACCCTTGAGAATTCAGAGATATTTGTAACCTTACAGGGTTGTGGGAAGAATGTTGTAAAAGGAAGTTGCGTCTTCCAACCGAGGAGTTTTCCTGAATGAAGTCTTCAAAGTGCAGCCCAAGGAGTATGTCTGCATGGTGGTGCTTTATCACACAGGAGGCTTTCTGAGCTATTTTTTTTCCCTGTTAATCACTCATCTTTATGCTATTAGGACATAGATGTTGATGTTTTGGCGCTGGTCAATGACACGGTGGGAACCATGATGACTTGTGGATATGATGACCAGCGCTGTGAAGTTGGACTCATAATTGGTAATTTTTTCTGTTCACCATGAAGGGTTTTTTCCCTCTTGTTTGTTGAATTACTACAAATCTGAAGTAGGAGGGAGTTTCACAATACAGGAAAAGAGCAGAAAGCAAATGGAAAAAACAATGGTTGGATTTTCAAGCCTGGCTGCCTCCTGTAAAGCAGCTGTTTTTATGCTGATCACATTGCTGTTAAATACCACAGTCCCCATTTTGTCTGGGCTCAGTTGTGACCAGCATACTAAACTTTTCTGCTGACTGTATAGAAAATTACTGTGTCTGTTCAGAGAAAGCTGAATTCCCCTCACGTCTGGTAGTTAGTACCAGCTATGCTTTCCACAGTTTTTCCATTTCATGCACTGTGATGCCTTTTATTAGGCACACAGAAGTACATTTGAAAAAGAAAACATGTTTTTAAACAAGTCAAGCCTTAGAATAATTTCAGGTTGTTTTTCTTTTTCCTTTCACTGTGAAATGATGATTTCACAGGTGCAGGTGGCCTACACCAGCATCTTGTGCCACACGGTTATGTGTTTTTATTTTCTTCCAAAGACAATGTACTGATTTATTCCCAAACATGTGGACTTAAAAAGCACACATGGAACAAACAGCAGTTTATCCAATACCCACAGGCACTGGCACCAATGCCTGCTACATGGAGGAGATGAGGCACATCAACCTGGTGGAAGGGGATGAAGGGAGGATGTGCATTAACACCGAGTGGGGGGCCTTTGGAGATGACGGTGCTTTGGATGATCTCCGCACAGAGTTTGATCGGGAGCTGGATCTGGGATCTCTCAATCCTGGAAAACAATTGTAAGTGATTCCCTGACTGACATGCAGTCTGAGTTCTCAAAGTGCTTTTCCAGTGCTTTTGCCAAAAGCCCCTTTGGAACAGGAATTGTCTTAAGTGAACCTGAGGTGATTTGATGCTGGCTCTGTCTAATCCAGATCTTTCCCTTCTGGGAAGGGTGAGTACTTTTCATACCTCCCTGCTTCAGGCCAAGGGATTGCTGCTCCAGTTGCTCATGTGTTGTTAAAACCAGGAGGTTGCTCTGGTATGATGCTGTGGAGGGCTGAAGAGAAGAGCTGGTGAACACCTGAAATCCTTCCTGTGCTCCATTCCAGGTTTGAGAAGATGATCAGCAGCCTGTATTTGGGGGAACTTGTAAGACTCATTCTCCTAAAAATGACAAAGCAAGGTCTGCTCTTCAATGGGAAAGTGTCAACAGCTCTGCTTACTAAGGGCAAGATTGAAATGAAACACGTGTCTGCAATGGAAAAGTAAGAACTTGTAATATGCTCTTTGAGAGTAGCCACTCTCAAATTTAGTCTTTCACAAGCACAGCAGTGATAGTGAAAGTGTAGTTAAAATCTGGGAGTGCTGGGAACAATCCTGAACTGTTCAAGTCGATTTTGCTTTTGCCTAGGAGAAAAGTTGACCTTTCTGTAAGCAGGAGTTGGTGTAAGATAGTTTTAGTTGCACAGTAGTGAGTATATTGGTAAGCATCCCAGATGCAGGTTGTTTAAATAACCTCTCTGGAGACCTGAGTGTGTGGGATGATTGCTGCAGTTTTCAGCCTCTCTGATGTGGGAATACTGGGGCTGTGGAGCTGTACTACAGATTGTAGATCAGCTAATGGATGACTGCATGGAAAACTTGGATTCTGTGTGTCTTAAAGAGGAATCCTGCTCCTCATGGTCACTCCAGGAATTATTTTCTTTGTTGTATTGAGTGAAGCTGTGTATCTATTCTTGTGCTCTCCTTCTTTGGACTGTTTTATCCCTTATCTTCTTGACTAACTGAGTGGTAAGTTAGGGGCTCAACAGATGCTGAACCCCAGGAAGCAGCCTCTCTCCCCTGGCTACTTTTGGGAATGCTGTGGGAAACACATTACTGGTTATATGGGAACCAATTATGGCGCTGTCTGATGGGCTGTGTCGTGGTCTCCTCTCATTTCTTTTTGAGCCAAGACATTGATTTATATGTTTTTGCATTTGGTGACGTACTCCTTTGCTTTGGGGTTAGGCACAAGGAAGGTCTGAGCAACACAAAAGAGATCCTTACGGAGCTGAACCTGTTTCCCTCTGAGGAGGACTGTGTTGCTGTTCAGCACGTCTGCACCATCGTTTCCTTCCGCTCGGCCAACCTCTGTGCCGCCGCCTTGGCAGCCATCCTGACCCGGCTCAGGGAGAATAAAAAGCTGCTGAGGATGAGAACCACTGTTGGGATTGATGGGGGACTCTATAAAACCCACCCCAAGTGAGTAACTAAAGAGGATTTGGCAATTGCTGGCTGTGTGTTGTTGTTGCTAAGAGCCTTCATCTGCATGTGTGTGTGGCTTTGCAGAGAACTGCTGGTTTTGTTTCAGCTTTGGGGTGAGATCTAACTGGATTAGTTATTGCAAAGCTGTCCCAGCAGCTTTAGAATTTGGAGTGGAGTTGGTAAAACATGACACCTGGAATAATGGTGTCAGAGGAAATTCAGTTGATTTCTCTTGGGCCTCTAGGACGCTTGCAGTTCACTGTGGGTTTTTTACTTTCTATCTTTCTCCCTCCACTACCTCCCTGTTTTTGAACCCATGCTTTCCTAAACTGGAAACTTTCTCCAGCTATTCTCCCAAACTGGCTGGAGGTCTGATTACAGAGGGAGATGAAGCAAACCATGCCCCAGAGGCCTGTGAGAGCCTAAAGAGCCTCTCTGTCCCCGCCAGATACGCCAAACGCCTGCACAAGGTGGTGAGGAGGCTGGTGCCCACATGCGATGTGCGGTTCCTGCTGTCGGAGAGCGGCAGTGGCCGCGGGGCCGCCGTGGTCACGGCGGTGGCACGCAGGCTGGCCACCCAGCGCCGGCGCATCGACGCCACGCTCGCACCCTTCCTGCTGCCCCTGGACATCCTCCGAGAGGTGAAGGACAAAATGAGGGCTGAGCTGGAATATGGGCTGAAGAGGGAGACGCAAGCTGACGCCACGGTGAAGATGCTGCCCACGTACGTGTGTGGGACGCCAGATGGAACAGGTGAAGTCAGTTCCTGCTCACCTGGAGGCAGTTCAGGGAAGCTGCTCGTCTGTTTTGGAGGGGGGGAAGGAATATGCTAACTAATTAATGCTAATTAATGCACATTCCAGGAGGATTTATGTTGTCAAACCGGTGCTTCTTGCTATGTTATCTGTTATCTTCAGCCCCATCATAGTAGACTTGATGGGATAAATGCCACAGGGAACACTGTGCTACCATCAGCATGTCATTCTGAAGCACCAAAATGAAATACCTTTCTTCTCCTTCAGAGAAAGGAAAGTTCCTCGCCCTTGATCTTGGTGGCACAAATTTCAGGGTTCTGCTGGTCAAAATCAAAAGTGGAAGAAGAAGATCAGTGCAAATGTATAACAAAATCTTTGCCATTCCTTTGGAGATCATGCAAGGGACAGGAGAAGAGGTAATCTCAAATGAATGTTTAACTGGTTCAGACAAGACCCATTGTATGGGATTATTTGTGAGATTTATATGCTTCTTCTTTCCTTCCAGCTCTTTGACCATATTGTCCAGTGCATAGCAGACTTTCTGGAGTACATGGGGATTAAAGGTGCTCGACTTCCTCTGGGCTTCACCTTCTCCTTCCCCTGCAGGCAAGCCAGCATAGACAAGGTAGGAACTGCAGCACAGGATGGGTCAGATGGCAGCTCTGCATCTGCTTGGTAAATTACATCATTTTGGGCAAGGGTGACTTGTTGGTTTGGAGGATTTATTACTTTACTTTGCAAATTAGTTGTGTTTCATGAGAAAGTTATTCCCCCTGTGTTAGCCATCTGCCTATGGGAGGCAGAATTTTCACTTCTTGTCTCTGGTAAGTGGTGGACATGACTTGCTTTTGTTCTATAAAGATTTAAGCCCTCACGACAACAAAATGAAGTGCATATTTTTAATAACCCAGGAATATCCTTAACTCTTCAATGGCATGAGATAACAAATAGCTCCTTCTGCTTGCTCAGCTACAACCCCAGGTTGTTTTCCTAGGTGTGCTGCACAGCTCTGACTGTGTAACTTCTGCACTGCATTAGCTTCTTTTTGCTGAGTGTCAGTGGACAGACCTGAACTTACTTGTTCAGCTTGGAAGAGTTGGCTTTTTGACAGATATCATATCTTTCATCTCTTCAGATCTTATGTAAGGAAAGATTATTCTTAGGAATTTCCAAGAAGGGCAGGGGATGTTGTGCTGCTTAGTTCTAGTCAAATATGTAGGATATTGGAGAAGTGAGAGACTGCTATTTTATTGAATGTTTTTATGTCCTGGTGGGGTTCACAATAACCTCTAAGCCTGGAAACTAGTCTGCTCTGTCTCAATTTTCAGCTCGCGGTTGAGAGTATACCAACAGGACTTGGCCTTTTGTGGAGACATGAATTCATATGCCTTCTGCACCCACAGCTTAGCATTTAGGTCTTGACAAACGATTAAGAAGCAAATTCCACATCATTGGTGGCAAACTGAGTGAGACACAGCTGTGTCAGGGTCCCATAATATGTTGCTCTGTGTGTTTGGTCTTTTGCTGTTGCTAGAACTTGAAGGTGTTTCTTAATATTAGCTTTTTTTCCCAGTTGTCTTCTATTTTATTTTTTTTCTTTTTATTTTCTTCTTATTTGGACAGACAGTCCAGAGCCACTTAGGAAGTGTAAAGCTAATTCAGGTAACCTGGAAATCAACTTCTGTCAGGCCAGGTCGTTGCCTGAAAAGAAACAAATTAGTGATGCCTGGAGTTGTGGGATCATCCCAAATGTCCTTCAGTAAACAATCCAACAATTAACAAATGTTCATTAATGTTTAATGGGTGTTTCATGATTTATGGCATTTAAGTATTTTTTGCAGTCTTTCCCTCACAGGTAATAAAAAGTGGCTGTGTGCACAAGAGGTAAGATGAGGTTTCCCAAATGAGATTTAGAAGGTACTGAGTGGAATAAACTTGGAGCCACTACCTTCAGCAGTTGAGTAACAAAGATAAACACACAGCCTGCACTAGAGATCCAAAGTAACCTGTCCAGGGAAACATGTTATTTGAAAACAAAAAAAGAAAAAAAAAAAAGCATTTGGGTGGGAGGCAAGAAAAAGCTGATGCTTGCAGTGTACAGCCTGCTCTCTTTGTCTTCACTTAGGACTTTCTCTCTCTTCTGTTTCAGGGAACACTTGTGGGATGGACAAAAGGATTCAAGGCAACAGACTGTGAGGGGGAAGATGTTGTTGATATGCTAAGAGAGGCCATCAGAAGAAGAAATGTGAGCTATTTTTTTCTGCTTATTTTTGGTGTATTTAATGCACCCTCCCTCTTCCTCTGGCATTCCGCTGGTGAGCGTGACTTGTGTTTTAGGAGTTTGACCTGGACATTGTAGCGGTGGTGAATGACACCGTTGGGACCATGATGACTTGTGGATATGAGGATCCAAACTGTGAGATTGGCCTAATTGCAGGTACAGTGATGGTCAAGTGACCACGGTGAGAAGGAAGCACCTATGCAGAGCTGGGCTTTGGGATCTGTAAACCAACACCTTTTATTTGAGTTTGATATATGCTGTTATTTGTTTCTTGGGGTTCTTGGCAGATTTGTGTGGTATTCAGCAGGAGACTTAATGACATCTGTGACACGTAAGTTCCTGAACCTGCTGGACTTTTGATCATCTCTCTGATGGTGTCTAACAAGTGTATGCAGGGTAAAAGAACACAAGCAGACAGAGCATGAATTCTTTTTTTGACAAGTTACTGTGTAGCCAGGTCATAGACCATGGAACAAGAAAATATTTTAAAAAATCTGAATGAATTCTTGTTGGGCTTTTTAGATGATTCCTCCAATAGATTCCTCCAAGTTTTGATCCAGAAATATATCTAAGCACAGAATCATAGAATGGCCTGTGTTGGAAGGGACCTTGAAATTTGAGATATGGCAAAGAGAACGTTGAGATGAACACTGCAATCATATTTCATAATTTTGTGGTGCTGCTTAACTTTTCCAGCTGAAGTCTTGTCATTTCTTCCCTTCTAGGAACAGGCAGCAATGTTTGCTACATGGAGGACATGAAAAACATAGAAATAGTGGAAGGGAATGAAGGAAAGATGTGCATTAATACAGAATGGGGAGCATTTGGTGACAATGGCTGCATTGACCACATCAGGACAAAATATGATAGAGAAGTAGATGAAGGCTCACTAAACCCAGGGAAACAGAGGTAAACGTGATGGTCCTGATGCCAAGAGCCTGCTGAAGTCAGTCTTTGAGAGACACTGGCTGCTTTTTAGAATGTGCTTAATGAATGAATAATCAGAAAGGAAAATTTGATATTGCATTTCTTTTGTTGCTTGATAAGTAACCTAGATAGCAAAAAAAAAAAAAAAACCACCAAAAAACAACCCTACAACAAAACCAACCCACAAAAGAAAAAGTGCTACCAAACAGTGCAGCTTTTAAAGATCTCCCTGCAAAGTCTAGGCCATGCTTTGTTCCTCCTCTTAGGGTGATTTTTCAAAGGCAAAATACAACTCAAGCAAGACCATAAGCTGAACTGGACTGTTCTTTGTTGGACAAAGATTGATTAAGTGTAACTCACTGGTGAATGCATGTGGGGACAGGGAGGAGTTTCACTTCAGTGTGGACTCTGGCTTTAATGTTGTATTCTGCTGAATATTGCAAGGGGTTTTTTTTCTACTTCTGTTACCATTTGGCATAGGTAAATATATGGTAATTAATGTTTGCCCTTGAAGTCACTGCAAGAGATTTTTGATGATTGAAAAATGGAGTTTAATGGCTATTGCTCTGCAAACTTGGACTGTGTTTTCTGGAGTTCACAGGGCATGTACATACCACTCTTGCTAAACAGAGCCATCTCTTTAAATGTACATTTTTATTCCTCTTTTGACTTAACAGGTATGAAAAAATGACCAGTGGAATGTACCTAGGTGAAATAGTAAGGCAAATTTTGATTGACTTAACCAAACAAGGCCTGCTGTTCAGAGGACATGTTTCGGAATCACTCAGGAAAAGAGGCATATTTGAAACAAAATTCCTGTCTCAGATTGAGAGGTAAAGCTGTTAGATTTACATGGTTTAAATCCTTAAGCTCATCTGGGACACCTAGAAAACAGTCTTTTGCAAGTGTGTGGAGCCCTTTCCTTCAAGAAGTCGATTAATTCAGTTATAGTTTTCTCCTTTGTGCATCCCCTGCCTCCAGAATAAAAGTTAAAAATGAGAAACTGGGGGAGTTACAGAATTATTTTTGTAATTATATGAATTATCACTTCCTGTCCACACAGCTGGGTTATCTTGGATGCCTTAGCCACCAAGCTATGTGATTCTGTGGGACTTAAAACAATACTTATTTAAGAAAGCAAGAAGTCGGTGATACATGAATATGTGCTTACCTATATATCTGTGCATAATTGCAATGGTCTCTAGGCTGTTTGAAACTCTTTCTGCTGTGGAAAGCCTTGAAAGGAGTGTCTCAGCCTTGAGATCTAAGGTAACAGTCAGGTGGCTGACCTGGTCCCACTCCCTCATGACTTTGGCAGTCAGATGAATGACTGCTGTTCGTGCCTGCTGGACACGCAGCCTGACGTGGCAAAGGGCATGGCAGGAGCAGCTTTTCAATCTGAATTCAGACAGAAATCTGCCTTAAAATACCTGGAGAGTGTTAGAGCTGAAGTGGCCCCATTTCCTTTGCATCACACTTTGGAATTTGGAGCTGCTGGAGCTTTCCCTAACACCTCTCTGCCCCGTGTGCTTCCCCGTGCGCAGTGACCGTCTCGCTCTCCTGCAAGTGCGGCGCATCCTGCAGCAGCTCGGCCTGGACAGCACCTGTGACGACAGCATCATTGTCAAGGAGGTGTGTGGAGTTGTGTCAAGAAGAGCTGCCCGGCTCTGTGGGGCAGGGCTGGCCGCTATTGTGGAGAAGAAGAGGGAGAACCGAGGTGTGGAGCGCTTGCAAATCACTGTTGGAGTAGATGGGACTCTGTACAAGCTCCATCCACAGTGAGTACCTTGGTACCACTTTCCCTTTGCTGTCTGCTCATTTGCACTGTGAAAGCTTAACAAGCTGTACCAGCTTTCTGCTGAGATGATTAAAAACCTGAGAGGGGATAAGGATCTAACACATTCCCCTGCATTTTGTCATTTCCCTTTCCTAGCCATAGGATCCAAAACTGAAAAGTCCAGTTACCACTGGGAGGCTCTTTTCTCTGGGATGTTGGGTGAACTTCATACTTATTTTCCAGATGTTTTGGCAGATTTCTACAGTATCTGAGTCTCCCAGATGAAAAGCTGTCTTGAGTTTTTGGAGTTGGGTCAGTATTCTGTAAGCAAGGCCTATAGAAATAGGTGCATCAGCTTTTGAGCTGGGAGAAGAGAACCCTCATGATCTCTGAGGGTGTGGGCAGTGCGTGGCATCATGCTGAGCAAAATTCAGGTGGAGAAATAAAAATGAGAACCTGATTGTGTACAGAGGTTTGTATGTTTCATGAATAGGAGAAAAAGCAAAAGAAAGCAATGGCTGAGGTTATGGCTCCTTATGGGGGAATATGAAGATCTCAGATCAGAAAGCAGCTGCTAAAATGTTCTTCTGTTCTTCTCTCCCTTCCCTTTCAGTTTTTCTAGGGTCCTGCGTGAAACAGTGAAGGAACTGGCACCTCAGTGTGATGTGACTTTCATGCTTTCTGAAGATGGCAGTGGGAAGGGAGCTGCTCTCATCACTGCAGTTGCAAAAAGATTGCATAATGTTGGACAGAAGTAGAAATGTGTGGTCAAGTAATTTCAGCACTGCCAGGCATGTGCAGTAGGGATTTGCTGGGTGGTGATTCAAGATAGCTTTGCCAGACACCAGTACACAGGTACCTTTTTTGGGGGAGCAGCTGGTTTTGACCAACCAGGATTGTGGATTTTTGCCCTTTGGTAACTTGGATTAGGTGTTTCTGCTCTCCTCTGGCATTATGTCTTGGCATACCACAGTCTGCTCAGTTCTGTACTCCCTGCAGTGCATCTCCAGTGCACATGGGAGGGTGAAAACAAAACAAACAAAATCAACCCAAATGTGTCTTTTTACATCTTAATTAAGGTACTGCACCACAGCTGAGTTTATCAGTTTCTTAGGATTTGTGTGCTTAGTTTTGTCTTGGCCTGGCTCAAAGAACACTGAGATTCTGATGTTGCCTCTGATCTAGTGGATATATTTGTTCAGTGCTAAATTTACAATAAATTTGCAGGTTGAAATAAATGAATTGACTTTGGTCAGTGATGCTTCCCCCACTGCTGCACTGGTTGTAATACTTCCCTGAGTACAGGAGGCATGTTTAATAGATGAAAAGGAAAAAAATGTGATTCCACAGAATATCAGTTGGTGTCAAAATATGTCAGTGCATCTGAGTCATGTGAAGCTAAACCAGTGCTGGATGGATTCTGACTGTGACTGATTCTTTTGATACTGAAGGAAAAGGAGAATGCAGAAGGAGCTACAGAGTCTGCAATGTCTGTGTCAGGGCTACATAGAGGGTATCAAACAGGCCACCAAAATAGCTGTGTAGAGGGAAGAAAAAAATCACCTGAATTTCTAAAAGTCTCCTCTTTGCTTTCCCTCTGTTATCCTCTTGCACGTTCCTGAGAGAATTGTTTCCATTTCATGCAAAGGAATTTATTATCCTTGGTTTTCATTTTCTGTTGCCTGCTGCTCTGCCTGTTTGTAAATAAATCTGTGCTGTTGTGAGCTTCTGCTTCTCTGTCCAGTGCATCTTCTGAGTTGTGGGAACATGCAGGCAAGGGGGAGCTTTCTTTAAAACTGAAATCTTTAAACCTAAACCTTTCTGTAAGAGCGCTCAGCAGCACTTCTGTGATTGTAAAGGTGCTTTGTGGACAGAGTTTTGGCCTTGTGTGACCAAATGTCCCTCGCCTGATTTACCCAGAAGAATCCAAAACAATAATATGGTACAAAGAAGCAGCAAAGCTGTGTCCTGCCTGTTCTCAAGGATTCCTGTATCTCTTTTAATCCTCTCTTTGTGAGTATTTGCTTCCTTGTGGGCTGACAGCAGAAAGTGGGGCCGAGAAATGTGCTTTTGACCTAGTTAGGTCAAAAGTAAGTGTGGTGCAGGGGGGTAAGCAGTTTGCTTTATGTAATAATCTGTAACAAGTCCGCTGCTGGGTTTAAATTTAGCAATCACAAATGCAAAATTGGGAGGTACAGACTTTTGCTGTTTTGTAGCTTTTTGAAAAAGCCAAAATGTGCCAACAGCTCTTTGTCTGTGTTGGAGTTACTGGATGGCTAGAAGATACGTGCAAGTAATTTTCACTTCTGAAGGAATTCCTCATGGTGCTGAGCTCACTGTACTGAGCAGTTGCGAAAAGGCAAGCTGTGAGCTCATTACATTTAATGTTTTCCTCGTTTTGTCAAGAAACTTAGAATTTTACTTTTTCTTTATGTTTCAGAATCCACAGAGCTGCAGAAGCCAAAGCTTCCTATGTAGTAAGGGCAGTTATCTGGAATGGAAGTTTGTTGCTGGTGATGAGCAGGTTAAATTTGGAGGGGCTGGATGTAGATATAAAAAAAAAAAAAATCAGATATTGAGTCTATGTGGGGCCTAGAATAGCTCTTCTAGGCTGTTTTAGGCCCCAAAGGTAGAAAAAGGATTTTGGCACCTGAAATCTAGTGCTGTGTGTGGTTTTGGGCCTTTTTGGGGGAGTGGAATCTGCAAAAGTGCACCTGTGAATGAAATATGTCCCTGTACATCTGGAACGAGGTGATGCAGACTTGCCCCAGGATGGCCACGTGAGTATGGTGCAGAACACCTTTTCTACTTTTATTCTAAAGCCTGTTCTGCACAACTGGAATGCAAATCAGTGACAAAACAAAGTAAACCACTCACATTTAGAAAGAAATCCTATCTTGCTTTGGTTTTTCTTTTTAGTCTTTTTGGGAAATGAAATACTCGCACAAAGTCAGTTTACACCTCTGCTGCAGTTATTCCTTCTTCTGTGGTAGATTAGGCCCACAAAATAATATTTTTTTGCACGTGCAGTTATATTTTTCCAGTGAGTCTGTGGGTCACAAAGTGCTCAGTGGCTCTTGCTGAGGTTCCTGAAGGCCAGGCCATGCGTGCTCCCTCCTTTCCTGCAGGCAGCTTTGCTCTGGAGCTGGCTCCCACGCGACTCAGATCCACATCTTCTGGGCAGGGAGATGGCATCAGAGCTGGGAGGGCAGCTCTGGGAATGAGCAGAGCTTTGCTGGGCAGCCTTGGAGAAAGGCAGGATTATTGGCCACTGTGGGATTTTACCAGGGATGCAAACTTCACTTGTGGTTTCGCAATAAACACGCGACGCTTCGGCTTTCTCTAAACCAGAACATTCTCCGTCTGGGTAATGATGCAGCATCGAGTTCCTGATTATGTCAACATGTGGAAACTCAGTGTCTGGTGCAAACTTGCAGTCCCCCTTGTACAGATATTAAACTGCTGCAGCAAAACACCTCTCTGCCATCTGTACCATCATATGTGGTGATTCAGTTGAAAGCCCTAGCTCGCAATGAAAGTAGAAATGTAACACAGCATATCCTGTGCTGAACAGTATGTGCTGCAGTTCATCACATGGCATTGTCAGTCAATACCAAATAAAATGGGATTGTTCTGGCTTCACATCTTAGATTTTTATTTTTCTGCTTTTCTGCTGCTTCTTGGATGGCTTTGTGATGCTTCATTTCTGCTTGCTTTCCTTCCAGTTAATACATTTAGCGCTTGAATTTATCAATTTTGTTTCGATGCCGCTTGAAGACATGAACATCTTTTTTCACATCTAGGTCACACACATAACTTGGAAAATGGAAAGATCTTTAAATCACAGGTGTGACAGAAGAAATTACTGAGAGAATGAAATAAGGTTTGTGCCTTTTAGGAATTCCCAGCAGATGGTTGCAGTTACCTTTTCATCCATGGGGAAAAAAAATAATCCTAAATATGTTGTTTTGCCAGCTAGAGACACATTTTGGTGGCTGTAGATTTGGACAGCACTGGCCCTTGTCTCATAACCCAGAGAAAATGCAGTAGCAGCTCAGTGGTGACATATTCCCTTTGACTCCGACAGAGTTCAGAAGTAAATATAGGATCATGTGGAAATCCTTCAGAAATCCTGATTAGCATGATCTCCCTTCTTGAGAAGTCAATATTATATAGGATTAGCAGATTAGTGTAAAGGAGTTTGAGGCTGAAATGTAGGTAATACCAAAATGAAAGTATTGTCTCTTTGAACTTTCTTGATTTGTTTCTTTGTGCCTGGTGAAATGAGCAGGCTTGGGCTTGAGGTCACCGTACGAATTAGGTGGAGGGGGGAGCGAGGCAGGGGGAGCAGGAGACTTGGTGAATGCTGTCCTGTTCTAGGTAAACTTAGAGTTTCTCTAGCAAGGATCACCGCTGCCTTGAGCATTGTGGGCTTATCCAGAGCATTTCTCAGACTACTTGTAAAGTCAGTAGCTTGTCAAGTGATAAATATACATATAGATATAAAATAATAATATAAGGGACCTATTCCTGTACATAGGTGGCCTGTGGAGGTGAGAGGAGGAAGGGAAATAAGGCAGATATCTTCTTTGTCCCAGCACTGAAATCCACTCTGTAAAGCTGATGTGGAAAGCAAGATATAAAAGCACCAAAATTTTAATTAATGTTTTCCTTTCCCTCATTGATACTATCACCTTGCAGGTGCACACCGAAGGTGCTATAAACGTGATGGGTCATGTCTGTCTGAGAGAGGAATGCCAAAATAATTCTGATCTTGTTGTGTGCTTTTTTAACACCCTCCAGATGCCAGCCCCATCCCTGCTTAGCATTACACTTCATCTGCACTCTGTGTCTGGGGGCCTCACACAGCACAGGCACCTCTAGAGTCAGTAAAGGCTGTGCTCTGTGAAGAGAGAACAGATTTGGTAAGAAACCTGGGGAACTTGGGTTCCTCCAGAAAGCCCTTCCCACTGGCACAAGGAATTGGCTACAGGAAAATGGACAAAGGGCTCCAGGTGGGAGGATTCCTGTGCAGGAGCTGAAGAACTGAATGTTGGGGAATCTTGACAAGCAGGAGCTTGCTGGGAGGAGTGGAAGGAGGTCCTGACTTAAAAATCCCAAACCTAAAGCAACCCAACCCTCCCAAAACAACCCAAATTATTATTATCTAGAAAAGTCTAAGTTAAAACCAGACCAAAGCTATATAAAAACCGAAAAGAGACAAGGGAGAGACTGAGTCTGTTTCATTGCCACTGTATTTTATTTCCTTCTTTTGCTGGGAAGGAGAAAAGCTGTTTGGAGAAGAGGGGAGAGATGTGTGAAGATGTATGGCACATCAACAGTTAAAGCTTCCCCATAAATTTGTCACTGCAGATCAGAACAACTTGAAAGTAAGTTTTAACAGTGGAGAAAAAGGATGACAGCAATTCAAGGTGTGAAACGTTAAGAGCTGTTAATTACAAGGACTGTTGGAGGGAATTAACTGAGTTAAGTGGTTAATGTGTTTACTGTTAATGGGGGGGAAGCACTGGGGTCCTTACCTTACCAGCATCCATTTTATTTGGACTTGGAGGTGAGATGTAGCTCCCAGCCTCAGGCATTTCAGAACAGGGCTCTGTTCTCTAACCCACGGGTGTTATTGATTCAGTTTACTTTTCTGAGGGCTGTTTTTGTGCTTTTCAATTTGCTGCTCGGATGTTCAGCTTGCCAAAGGTTTCTGTGCACCTGGGAAGGCCCCGTTCCCGTAGGGCTGGCTTGGCCAGGATGCTGCGCCATCTGCTCAGCCATTGTAGAGGACTGTCCTCATCCTGTCAGGCTTGTCCCCAACTGGGAGCTCAAAAAAGGCCACTCTGTGTTGCCACAAGAGTTGGAGAGCAGGGAGGTGTGGAGGGGATGGACTTAACTTAGCCCAGGCTCACCTGTGGGGTGAGCTGAGATCCTGGAGCAGCAGCCACCTCTGGCCCCAGAAGCATAAATAAAGCAGGATTAGGGCTGGGATGGAAGTGGTTAACGGAGCAGACCAGCTGGTGATGGACAACTTGGTCCTAGAGGGGAGCTCTCAGCAGGAGGAGAAAATGGATGGCTGGAATGGCACAGAGGGAAAGGCTGTGAGGGTCTGAGCAGGTAAACAAGGAAGGTGATTTCCCCATCAGGCACGTCCTGAATACTTCAAAGCGGAAAGTTACAGACGCTGATTTGGAAGCAGCTGATTCTGGAAACAAATGGGATAAATACTGGCATGAGAGAAAAAAAAAAAAAAAGTTGAAATGCCTGAAGGGCACATCTGCTGTGGCCAGCGATTCTGCAGGAAATGCACTGAAATCAGAGAGAGTGGAGGAAGCTGGACATGAACACAGCTCCCAGTGAAGCCAAAGGAAAGCCAAGGGCCTGGGAAGTGCCTGTGATTGTGTGCTGAGAATTTGGCTTTCTTTCCCTGGCTCTCCAATGAAGTAGCTGTGTTTAATGTGGGCCCGAGCCTGGCTGTGCTGAAGGAATTGTAAAGGTGTTTTGTGTTCTGAACTCAGATATTCTGCCCCTGAGCTTTTTCTGTTGCTTTCAAGTGTGTGTTTTCAGAGCAAGGTCTAAAAAGGGTTTTCAGAGCCGTAGGTCTAAAGCTCAGTCTGTTAGTCTGAAATTTGAATAATTGCATGGTCATTAAATTTTGCACAAAAAGGAATTGACTCTAAAAGCAGCTGATATGTTATCATGATTAGAGCAATAGCAA